GGGCCGCACTGAGAAGGTTGGGGTTCGCCTTCCCAGCCGAAGAGATACACCTCTACGCGGTGGTTGGGACAAGTAAGGGATTTAATCTCTGAAACTAAGTATCTCTATTTTATTATTATTATTATTATTATTATTATCATTTATTTGTACCGTTTTTTATGTAAAGATTAGTTAAAAATTTTTATGCATGTAATTTATTTATGTAAATATTAAAAAGTGAATATATTTAATAAAATAAAAATATTTTTAAACCAAAAAAATCGCAATATTGTTTATACCTGATACAATATATTAAATTATAAATTTAATTAAAAAATACAGTAAAAGCAATAAAAGTGCCGTGTTAATTTTTATGTTTCGTTAATCCAAGTATGTGATGTTGATTATAAATCTAGATACATAAGCAAAAAAAAAACCGTTAAAGGTTTGTAAAATAAACAGTATATATATACAAATCAATTTTTTTTTTTCTGGTTGTACATATAAACGATATGATTAGGTATATATGCGTGCACGTGATTATGCATAATTTTTTTGGCCGACTTTATAGAAGAGTTGTTAGGACTATATAGCGATAATAGGAATATCGAATTTATATCGGATTTTCGGCTCAATTTCGGATTTTCGGAATTAATTTCGGATCTCTGTTAAAATCCGAAATATTTTGGAAATGAAAACTATTTCGTCCAAAACATTAGAATAGACTGTAGACTTTACTCAAGATCAAACCAATATAAATTTGCTAAACATTTATAATAATCCATTCATAATCATATTACATTATTATTGCACTATTATAATAGATTTTCGTCTATTCCATGATGTATTGACGAATCTTGCATAACGCTTCTAAAACATCTTTTCGCCCGTTTGATTCTGCAAGATCAAAACCAAGAAATGGATCACTATTATTCCCTGGCCATCTGAAAATTGTAATTGAATGCTTTTGTGGACAACCTAAACTTAGTTCATCCCAATAATCTTTCTGGATTGAAGCACGATAAAATGTGACGTAAGTAGAAACTACACGAACTACAAATATGATCATATCATAAGCCATATGGGCTTCACGTATATTTTCATCCCCACAAGCAAGCATTTCAGCAACTATTTGGGGTTCCCCATAACCATAGGTTGGCCTAACGTTAGCTAGATGTTTATCCTATTAAAAAGATCGTTTGAATTAACATACGGACCTCAACGACCAACATAGAATATTGTTTAAAATGTTTAGAATTGATTACAAAACCGACTTTTGCTGAAAAAACTGATTGGCCGACGGAAAATTTGAGCATTGGATGTAATCTAAGTTTGGACGTAACCAATTTTTAAGAAAAGTATACCATAAACAAAAGGTATTCCTATCAATACTCACTCAACTATCATGGGCCATTGATCAAAGTTGATAGCACGAAATAATAAATGGGCTACCAATGTATCAGTAAAAGCTTCGCCCGTGCCTATATCAACATCTACATTCCTGGTGACTCTTTGCAGTTTGTTAATGAATGTTCTAACGTCATTATTTTGGCTCAACTGGCTAATTTCTAAGTCTCGCATGTCGAGCAAAGCACGGTTGACTGACGGAAGAACGTATTCTTGTGGAATTTCAACTATATGAATTTAAGTTGTACGTATTGAGTTTACTAAGAGAAATATTGATCTGAGAGAAATGTTACTACGACGTACCATTTCTATCAGGAATAACGTCGCCTGCTTGAGCTGATTGGAAATTCACATTCAATGCACGAACATCTCGATTATTGAACAAGGATGCAGATTTGCTAAGAAAGTCTGGGTCATGTAGATGTTTTGAGCTTTCACTTTTGGTTCGTGACATGTACTAAAAAGAGAAATATTTTAAGGAATTTTCCATTTGTTACACTTATGCTTTACTTGATTGGATGATCAACACATAAGTATTTTTTTCCTAGTACCCACGGGAACTGAAAGTTATTTATTAAGTTAAATATAAATTTTACATATACTAGGTTAACAGGAACTGTTGTGAGTCCGAAGTAGAGTGTCCAGCTTTCTGCCTGCACAGAATCTGCGCAAATATGTACAAATTCTGCTGATTCTGCTCAAAAAAAGCCGAATAAGCAGAAAAGGCATAATTATTATTAGTTATATAATAATAATACATAATTACTATATAATAACAATTAACAATCTTCTCAATTGTAATTGGTTAAGTAGATAATGCAAAAGTAGCCGAACAAAAAGCAGTAACTTAACGGCTTTAAAAGCAGATTTCTGGACACTCTAGCACAGGCACAAAAATTTGACATGGGTGTGGGCAAGTGTTGGCATTAGACATATGTCAAATGCCAACACTGGGTGTGGGAGAAATTTGATATTTAATATTTAATTGTGCTTGGCATTGTGCCCGGCACCTTGTGCCCATGCCTTTACTAGTGCCTGGCAATTTGTGCCCATACCTTTAATGTACCTAGTATTTTATGCCCTTTTGTGTCTATGGGCATAGGTGTGGCACAAGGTACTAGTGCTCAGCCTGGTGCAAATGTGCCGGACACGGGCATTTGCAGAACCTTACTTAAAAGCTATTATTCTTCGGTAGATTTTGATATTACAACTGATTTCATAAATTCCGGGACGGAATCGATAAGTTACCGACTTCTGCAAAACTCAGAAGCTTCGACCATCAGGCATAAACTTCTAATTGTTGCTAAATATAATTACGATTATTATATAATTATTATAATGTTACTGTATATAATTAAATATAATCTATATATTAAAAACTTTGTTCTTCAACGCGTCTGTATGTAGCGCAATTCTTATATACAATATTTTCTGCTAACTTATACATCAGATTGAAATGCATATCATGAGTATAATAACAGATACAAAATAATAAATATTATAGTGTTTGAATTCTTTACAATAACACATGCTATTTTAATTAACAGTTATAGAGATTCGTTAAGCTCACATACCGAAAGTTCTATAGTATCAAATACAACTACAAATCTTTTTGTATAATAATGTTTGGATCCGTTGAACAAATCCATTGAATGATCCGATGGATATTTTAATCTGGTGGATATTTTGTTGGATATCCGCAATTAGTGCCAGGATTATGTGATGCTGAAGTGATTGCTTATTCGTAACGGCAATAAAGCATATTGATAAAAACAGTGACGTATGTTAATTATTAATAAATAACAAAAGGTTTTTTCGGGTGAATGATTAAATTTCTACTCCATTAGACTTACAGTAGTTTATGTAATTGAAAAGTATCTTAATTAACAATTTATTAAATAAAAAATTCTTTGTATAAATTATATAAGTCACTCTTGTTATAATGAAATGATTGATTCTACTAGTTGAGTCTGACTTCACAACAACTATTCTTCACTATATTGAGAGTTCACCTTTACAAGAGTGACTTAAATATGTATATTTTTTTGTAGACATTCATTGCAAAAAAAAAAAAATGACAACAGTTTCGCCGGGTTCAACAGATTTTATCGGATAGTTTATGACCGGGTATAAAAATCCAGCGGATATCTACGGACGGACCAAACACCATATTATCAATGCATGTTTATATTTTCATCACTGAGTTAAAGATTAATATAAAGGCTATTTTAAGTGCCATATTGAATATTTCTTATTGTACAGTACATTAGGGTGTTTAATAAACTAATTAATCAAAACTTAGTTAGAGTCATATATGATGATCATTAATTTCG